TTTTTTTTTTTATTGGTATATGCTGCATGCTGTTTGCAGTCTGAGAAAAAACGCAAAGTGACGCAAGGTATTCGCGTAAGTCACGCTAGTTGTGGCGATTCCACTGCATCCTCAGCAACGACGTTGTTGGCACAAAGAAGAAAGTGATTTTTTCAAACATATTTTCAGAGAAATAAAGCTGAAGTGATTTTGTTACAACTGTGGAGACCATAAGTTAATTAAAAGCATTTTGGCTTACATCGCACAAGATAAGAAAGATGAAAGACTAGTTTACGGCTAATTTGTAGTTCTTTGATGTGAGCCTCTGAAGACAAAGCTTGCCATTAATGTACTCTTGCGATGACATTCAAACAATGTATCTACTTGCCAAAGTGAATCCTATTGTTCACTCAAAGTTTTCGCATTGGCAATGACATTACTGATGCAAAAAGGCAACCAATCTTCAAAACAAGAGTTGGCGTGCTACTTTCGCTCTTACCAAACTACAACAAGTGACAATAAAATGTATGTACAATCAACCACACATTTTTTTTGTTAAAGAATAGAGCAAAGAGGCTTTCTGCAACGAAATGTTCGTGTCAAATAAGTCCATCAGCTAAGGCAGCAAATACTTTTCTACATTAACCAATCTTAGATTTACTTTTCCACACTGTTAGTCATGCCGGTGAGACGAAAGGTGTGGAGCCCCTCAAAGCATAACTTTGTACGAAAGCATTTATTGCTGTGCCGTAGCCTATTGTCGTATCAAAGGCGATCGAATATTTGCACAAGCATGGCTAGTTAAAGCGACTTCTAAGCAACCTGGCATATCATTGCGAGGTCCAGCCAAGTATGAGAGCTCTTGGCACAAAAGCTTTGATTTGCTAATATATATCAAGGAAAACAAAACAACAAAACAGCTCATAGATCAATGTCCCGCAGAAAATGTAATCAAAATGGCATCTTAACGACCATATGCAAACTTGGTCATCATAAATGCAGTAGCTAGAAAAAAGGCCATTTAGACATGCACGTACATTTCACGGCCGTTACAAAGCAAATCGTTATAAAAATGTCGAAATTTTTACCTACAGAAGTCACTAGGCGTGACAAGCAACCCTACTCCTTTTCTGATAGTCAACTGACCAGACTATAAATTTGGTATAGGTATGACAATGTTAAGACAAGAAAAACAAAGGGATATAATCAACTTATCACTTCGATTTTATTGTCTAATCAACACTGGGAATGTCATATACATGCGCCTCAACAGTGCGCTCCTGATAGAGTTTACAGCTTTGGATTTTGCTAAACTTCCCTGATAGATGGTTAGATGCTTTCGTATTAATTGTTAGTACCATTCAGCTTGCTAAAGTTGACTTTATAATATTTGTCTACAAAGTTGGTGATGTAACTGATACGCTACATTCGCCCGGTAGCTTGCACCCCAATTTTCACATGAATTTTGATTCGCTTCAATCCTATTTAACAAGGGTTCAACATTGTTAAATCAAATTTGCTCACGTTCAATGTTTTTGGACGTTATACTTCCGATTTGATTTTGAACTCTTGCTTTATGTATATTGGGTTTAATTTCTTGAGTTACAAAAAATTATTGTGATAATTCATCGCCGCTTCAGCAACTTCGCACTATCTAAAGAGAAAAAGTGGCGGGTTAATTTACAAATCCTGGCTCTAGAATGTTTAGGTAGATGTGATACTAGTTCATAGAGATTGACTTCTGTCGTTATTATCGTCTCATTTTTCGGATGGATTGAAAAAACCGTAGCAGATTTTGAGGTCATAGGGGTATCTGCAGCGGGGCTGCCGTAGCGTTGCGGTTAAAGGAAGCGTAATTTAGGTCACCGACCTTTCGTTCTATACTTAGAACAAGTACGAGTTAGCAGATCGCAATCCACTTGAGATCCTTGAGATCCTTGAGCTGTAGTGTATTGGTAGTTTTACGACGACCTTATTGATACCACTCCAAGAGCAATTATTGTCGTGACCCAAGGCTAATTACTCTTCCGTTTAAAATTCAAAACTGATTTTTATTTATTTTTATCTGCGGCAAAGCCGCCTAATATTAAATATTTAGATTTTCCTGAATATATAGTG